CTCATTAATCAGTCATAAATTCCGTTAAACTAATTTTACGTAAGTTATTTATTTAAATTTTTTGGTTAATGAATAAACGAATTTTTACTGATCAAGGTACAATCCGGAAATTAATTTCTTTCCCTGCTAATTTGTTAAATAAATAACTTACGTAAAATTAGTTTAACGGAATTTATGACTGATTAATGAGCGCTAAACTTAATTAAACTTCTTTGACCAGTTTATCACTTTTAATTAATAAGGAATTCTGGAATTTTGTAAAAGTAGGCCTTTTAGGCCGTAGGCATTTTGGGCGAGTCCGCTTTACAAATAATGGTACTTTTTCGCCAGAGAAGGTACTATTTTAATTTTGGAGCTACTACAATCAAAACTCTGCTTAACCTTTAACAACATCTAGAATTTTGAAAATTGTTACAAATATATCGTATACAGGTTAGGGTGACCGAACGTCCTCCATGGGGAGATTGTCCTTCTTTGGACCCCTCAGAGCACTGTCCCCCCGCTGTCTAAGGAGGACATTGAGATGTCCTCATTGAACATAAATTGCATAAAATATATCTTTTTTGCTAATTTTCTGTTTTATAGTAAGTTTGAGAATATAAATTTGCTAACTTCTACTAGTTTATTATATTCAATACTATTTTTGACAAAATACAGTTTAAAAATTGTTTTATCAAATAAAGTTCATACTCGTCTCAATAAATATTAGTTTTATAAAGTTAATTATTTGAAAGGTTATTATTTTGTATAAATTCGATCAGTATTTAGAGTTGTTTAAGTGTATTCAGACAAATAAAAAATTTAGATTTGAAAATAGCCAGTCCTCCTAACTTCCGCCTCATAACATTACATTTAATGCAAATGTCCACCTTAGTGCCCAAAAATTTCTAGTCATCCTAACAGAGGTTGTACCTGATACATTATTTAATTAAAGTGAGAGCGGTTTTTTGTATTTGTATTTGTGGATTAACATGAATTCAATGAAATACTGTAATATACTTTGATAATATGCTAAATAGTATTAAAGCAGAGTAAAAATTTCAATCCATTTTTATCTACCACAAAAAAGTATATTATAATAAGTCTTACTATATATTCCAATATAGTTGGTATATAACGAATACATATGTTGAGAAGTTTTATGTTTAACTTCATGTATATTACATGTTTTCCCAGTAAATTGTGTTCTGATTATTTCAAGCATTGGTTCGTTAATTGAGTTAATGTTAGTTTCATCTAGAGATATAAATACTGTAAGTACTAAGGTTTGAACTTTTAAATAATATTAAACTATAAATTTCTAACCATTAGTTATATTTCCATCAGTCATATGGATTATACAAAACGGTTTGCTTTGTATAATTAGTTGGTAAAATATATCACATTTTTCATCAATCATAGCATTTAATACAGAATTGAATTCTTTGTCTCCAATAATGGGTTTATTTGTCATAAATGTCGCCAATTGTGATAAAATGCGCCAACATTCGGGTCTTTGCTTCCAATCTGTTGAACCATTTTTGCGATAAATATTGGCACTCATTGACACTAATAATGCATTCATTTTATGCATCCATTCGTTAATATCTTTATTATATTTTGTGAATGTCTTAAATCTAAAATTGAAATATTATACATATTAATAGAAGTCATTAATATATTTTTTTATAAAAATTTATTTTAAAATGAAACCATACTTTCCGTCGATTATATCGTTTGCATCGAACCCAAAAATTTGAGCCCCAATTAGGGATAGACTGTAGATATCTATTAAATGGTTGTATTCATTAGTCTGGGCTTCTGGTGCCTGATATGAAAGGTCCCCGACATCTGCGGTATGTTCTGCTTTGGATGCTTTAAACAGATCACAATTTGGGACCTCTTTAGCCAAACCAAAGTCACATAACTTTATCCACCCATAGCTTGTAATCAACACATTATTCGGTTTGAGGTCTCTGTGAATGATATGCTTTTCATGCAAATATCGCACACATTTTGTGAGTTTACGAAATATATGATACGATATATAAAACTCAGAAATAGCCATCAATTCATTAAACAATGATTTCTTAGTTTCCAAAACATTGTTGAGATTATCGATACA